AAAATAATTATTTTATATTTCCCGATATTTCTGATGAGGGACTTGCGTTTAAAAAAGATATTTTTAAAAAAATTCTTCTAAAAGAAATAAGAAGAGGAAGGCACTTTTTTAAGCACCTTCCCGACAACATCAAAATAAAATAATGAGTTAATTGCAATGTTCTTTGTTAATAACATAGTTATTACGTGTTTTTTTAAATGTTTTTATGTTTTTTGGAAACTTATTTTAGTTTTATTGTTTATGTTCTTGGTTAATAACATAGTTATTACGTGTTTTTAAATGTTTTTATGTTTTTTTGGAAAAATATTTGAGTTTTATTACTTTAAATAAAATTGTTCGTACCGAAATTGTGTTTGGACCCCCTATCCCCCCTAAGAAATTTTTTTTATGAAATCTGTATGTATGTATATTTAATTATATTTGTCCGAACACACTCTTACTATAAATTAAGTTTGGATTTTCCTATAAATTAAAGGTGATCCGAACTTAGACCACCAATAGGGGTGAGTTCGGACACCTTTCAATAATAAAAAAAAATTGAATTTTTTGAAATATGCAAAAAACAAATACTGTATTCGATAGAGGAAGGTTTAAGGTTCTTATATTAATTTTTTCAGATTTTTACAAAAATCTAGCCTCTTGCTATTAAGAAAAAACCTTTAAAATGTATTGGTTCACAATGAGAGGAAATAGCACAGGTAAACATAAAAAAATATTAAAAATATAGTAGGTGACATAATAAACCACAACGTGGATTCATGTTGATAAAAATGATACTAAATATAATATATTAAATTGTGTGGTATTAAAAGTTAAAAAGGTTTAAAAAAATGAAAACTGAAATTAAGTTGATTGATAACATGAAACAATCTCAATTTGATTAGAGAATATGGTAATTGCAATAAATGAAGCAGTGGGAAGGAAGTTGAAATTGCGGTATACAAAAAAGTTTATAATATTAATGTGTGAATATAAACATATCAGATTATTTATAGGAAAACAGGTACCATAAATTAATGAAAAGTAGTAAATCCAATAAAGCAGAATGGTTATGAATGAATCATCATCATATAATAAGGATCCAAAATCGACGTGATCTAGGTTTCCATAGCTTTTGAATAAACAAAATTATAAGTCCAATTAAGACAGTAAAACTTATATGAGTGCTTAGAAAATGTAAAAGTTAGAAATCAAAGAACAGAAATTGGAGGACGTTATTCTCAGCACCACATATCAATCCGTACATCTATATACGGATTCATGATAGCACAAAAGACTTTAAATAAATAATTTATCGACAATTTAGCAAAAACTGGGAATTAATGAAATCTGTCTTACTTTCACCATTTTGTGTAAAAAAGAAGAGTAGGTTTCAAACAAGCTGGTTTGCAAGAATCACAGATCAGGAACATAAAGATAGGAAACACAACGACCGCAGCAACGATAGCGTCATCTGTGCGTCTCAGATGTTAACTAGAGGTACACATCGTTTTTAGATGTGGAGAGCAGTTGACAGTTTGTAAAAATACATGTCAGTTAGTTGTATGTATATCGTAAAATACTGAATTTTAATTTTAAATTTTAAGTTAAAGAATGGTTTATATTGTAAGGTAAACTAAGCGAAATGGTAATGGTTGTTTTTGCGTTGAATTTGAGGACATTAATTATATTTTGTAATAATACAGTAAGTCAGAGCACGTATTGTATTTACTCACACATGTCAGATCGTGTGCCAGATGAATAAATTTAACAACTCCAATGTGGCGTTTCTTTACCAAAGGAAGATCTAGCCATGTAAGTAACAAACAGTAGCCAACTTTTGTCACAAAGTATTTATTTATTAATTATTGTTTTATAGTAAGAAAATGGCTTCAAAACGTTAAAGAGAATATTTGTTATAGAAAGAAAAATATCTGAATTCCCATTATCGATTTTGCAGTCAAATTTTTTAAAAATTAAATACCAATGGCCACTTGTTTGTAAAATAAAAACAAAAATGTTATAATAAGACTGTAAGTGTAGTATTCTTTTCAATAAATAATTTACCGTAATTAACATTGTTTAAATTTATTTACGAACATCAAAGTGCAATCGATATTTATACAACTTTTATTATCAGATTTTTAAATTTCGCGCTGCGTTATTTGTTTGATATCGAGCGTCACATAGTGGGTCAGATGTTAACTGCGTTTGAGCTGGTCGTTGTTAAGCATGTGCTTCTTATGCGCGTTTCCTATCTTTATGTCCCTTATCTCTGGCACGAATGTTAATGAAAATTTTAATGAATGTTCTAACAACCTGCTGTTTATCTGCTAAATAAGAAAGTAGAAAAAATTAAAATTGAATATTAATTCGACTAACTTGTAAGTACGCACAAAATTCTGTGTTCAACGTCAAATACCGCTCAAAAATCAAGTTGCCGAGATTTACGGAGTCATCCATGTAGTTGTCCAATTATTATGAGAGAGTATGGGATTATCTTGTTACAAGGATTGTTTATAGTTATAATTCAGTATTGACTAAACATAAGTCTTTAAAGCGTACAAAAGTCTTTTAAAATTACATTAGAGTAGTGCATTTGTATTCTTAATGCCAGTTATTATCAGTTTAATATATTTTTCTCTAGTGTTTTTTCAGTAAAGTACGCGATTAATTTTGGAGTGTTACAGCAGTACAGCAGCAAGCGTAGTAGACGTTAATACTGATTCGTTTATAAAATGCATGCTTGCTTCTTAAGCCGGCTACTCACTACGCGTTACTTGCCAAGTACTTGCCAAGTACTTTGCAAGTACCATGTAATGTGTATGGAGACTTGTATAGACTCAGCAAGTTACTTGTACTTCCCGTCGGTTGTCGGTAAACGGACCGAAGTCAAAGGATCCGAGTAAAGTGTTTCGCTACCCTAAATTGCTACTTTAGAAGGCGCGCGTAATGTAGACGATTTACTTGTACTCGAACAAGTACTTGCCAAGTTCAGTCCAAGTCAAGTAACTCGGCAAGTAACGCGTAGTGAGTAGCCGGCTTTAGATAAACATACTTGCCCAAATCATTCCTACTCAAGTTAGAAGCTGTCTCCTTCTTTCTAACGCGACAGCCGATAATAAACACAAACCTAATAGTTGCAATAAATAAGGACTTAATTTATGAATGAATGGATTAGTCTAGTAGTTTTTCGTTATTGCTGTCAAAGTTATTCTCCTTCTCTAACAGCCGAGAAAAATATGTAACGTTGCCACATCGCTTTTCATAGTATGGCAATATTTATTGTTGCCACCCATAATGATAACCAGTTATATAAATAAACAATAGCTTGAGTTATACTTTGAATAGTTGTAATTTTTACTACACCTAAAAAACAATCTATGTCTTATTATTTGCACTATTATCTGGAAGTAGTCTATTTGTAGCGGTATTTGTGCTTTTTTGATATCAAAAACTGACCATGTTAGGATCCTGTTATGGAGTGTAAAGGTAAGGAGAGCTCATTGGTATTCTCACAGCAGCAAAATAATTTACCAGAAACAATATCATTGGAAGGAACATGCTTATCTATACAGATAGCAGACAAGCACTAGTCACCCTGGACAGACCTATAATTTACTCAGAGTCAGTACTAGAATGTCACGAAGCTGGTCACCTTAAAAGGGATCAAAGGTCACGCCACATCGAAAGTTAACCGTCTTGCTGAGTAACTGGTCAAGAAGGCAGCCAACCAATTACTTTTTGGACCTGGCCCTTCTATTAGACTGACAACATCGGTACGTAGTGACAAACCTAATTAAAGCACAGTTTTTTGTGAAATTTAAGGAAATATGAGATGAAAAAAGAAGCTGCCGAGTTGCCATGTAGCTTCTAAGTTACCCTGATAATACAACAGCAAAAAATAGTTAACTATGACTAGACAGAATCTGCGCCTGATCACAAACATTCTGACTGGTCACTGGCCAAGTGCAATTGCATACGGCCGGACTCTATAGGATGTACGAATAAGAAGATGAAATCATATCATATCCAAATTTGTGTTCAAGGCGAATTGACTAAAACTGGCCGATATAAGAGAAGAACCTTTTGGCGACATTGTCAACTACATTAAATCTGTATCTAATATATTTGGGAGGATGCACTATTGGCCTAGTGAGGCCTCAATGCCATGGGACAACCCACCCTCCACACGTTACAAATAGAGAGATGCCAAATGTTAATTTTAATTTTTATTGGTCTTTTTGAAATTAAACATTTAAAGAATTACGTTTCAATGAAAATGAAAATAAAAATAGTTTATAAAATTCTTTGTTGTTTATTTGTAATTAATGACGTTTAAAATACACTTTTTTATTTATGATTGTTTTTCAATATCGTATAAAAGTAAAATTTTAAAAATATATGAAAAAGTTTGCACATCAAGTATAATTCTCTAATACGTGAGCAAAAGGGCATAAGTCAAATAATTATCCATTTTATCCAGAATGTTTTTTTAAAGTTTACAAACATTTTGAAAAGTCGGGCAATTAAAAACCAGAATATTTTTTAGTCTGTTTATTAGCAACATTAACTGTTGATTTAAATTAAATTAAGAAAAATACTTTAAAGTTAAGTATTTTTGATTTAACAGTGACTTTAGTCTATTTTACCTTAAATATTAATGATTAATAACACATAAGTCTTTTGTACGGTAATAAAATTTAAAAAATCCAAAACTTAATACTAAAAATTCGAGTACCATTTTAACCACTACGTAAATACTAATATTCTTTTTTTTTGTATACTGGACTATCTAATATTCTTCTGGATTCAGGATCCGTATCTGCTTGATCATTAGTAGGTAAATTTTCATAAAAGTTTCTGTACTCTTCGTGTATCAATAGTAAAAGTTCTAATAGATGCGCTTAATGGCATATATTTTTATATATGTATATACAAAAGTACCAAAAACTAATTGTTAAATTAATAAATTATATTCAAGTATAGGTCATGAATTTTTGTAAACATAAATTACTTACATGCAAGAAGCATTAGGATTGCTGTGGCAGTGATATTTCCTGGTGACCGTTTCCAACAACCTGTCACTCCTGTGCAAAAAGCAGCGAACACAGCGACGAAGGATATGATGAAGAGTGCTATCATGGATCGTCCCATATCTGAAAAAAATATTTAATAAATTAGGCATTTTAAAAGTAATGTTTAGGAAAACTGCATCAAGAAAACTAACTCAGACTTTATATTGGACAGTAAATACAAATGTATACTCTTATTATTATACTCTTCACACAAGAGTCTGTGAAGAGTTATAGGTTTACTTTCAAGAAACGAACATTTTTAATATTCACCCAAATTTAAAAACTGTTGTACCAAAATCATTCTCATCAAATTTTAAACAACTTTTAAGAATGTCCGTCCGTCTGTCCGATGTCATGTTTTTTATACGCACGATAAAACAAAAACGAAAGATCATTTGAACTTAAAATTTTCAGGAAAAATCAATTCCTATAAGGGCATGAATCCTATTGATTTTTAAAAAATCCCTATAGTCTACTAATTTTTTTAAAATATCTGATTAAAAATGGGGGGTTAAGGGGGGGGGGGGGTTAAAATTAAAAAAAAAGTCATAAATTAAAAACGAAAGACAATATCAACTTGAAATTTTTAGAATATATCAATCTCTTTAAGGGGACGAAGCCTATTTATTTAAAAAAAAAATCTGATTAATAATGGAGGGGTTAAAGGGGGATTGAAACTCAAAAAAATCATAAAATAAAAACAATATCAACTCGAAATTTTCAGGAAAAATCAAGCTGTACAATGAAACGAATCCTATTCATTTTAAAAATAAATTGAATAAAAATGGGGAGTTAAAGTTAAAATAAAAAAAAAAAAGAAATTCATAAATTCAAAATGAAAAACAATATCGACTTGAAATTTGCAGGAAAATCAAGCTCTGCAATATGACGAAGCCTATTGATTTTTTTAAAAAAATCTGATTAAAAGTGGGGATTAAGAGGGGTTTTAATTAAAAAAAAAAAAAAATCAATATGAACCTGAAGCCTTTTGATTTAAAAAAAATCTGATTAAAAACGAAGGAGTTAAACAAAAACTTAAAATAAAAATTAAAAACAATATCATCTTGAAATTTTCAAGAAAAGTCAAACTTTCCAATGGAACGAGGCTTATTGATTTTTAAAAAAATCTGATCAACAATAGTGAAGTTAAGGTGGGTTGAAATAAAAAAAATCATAAATCAACAACAAAAAGCTATATCAACGTGACATTTTTATTAAAAATCATGCTCTATAAGGAGACAAAGCTTGATTATTAAAAATGGAGGGGTTAAGGGGAGGATGAGGCAGTTGAAACTTAAAAAAAAATCATAAAACAAAAACGACAACTTGAAATTTTCAGGAAAAATCAAGCTCTATTGTTTTTAAAAAATCTGATTAAAAATAGGGTTAAGGGGGGGGGGGTTAAAATTTAGAAAAAATCAAATTAAAACAAAAAATCAAGTTATATAAGGGGACGAAGCCTTTTGATTATTAAAAAGCTCTGAAGTTAAGGGGGGATAAAATATAAAAAAATAAATCAATATAAAATTTGTAGTAAAAATCAAGCTCTATAAGGGGATGACGCCTATTGATTCTGAAAAAAATCTGTAAAAAATGGGGGGTTAATGAGGTCCTTTCGCCACCAATGTTGAGAATTTTTTTTTAAATGTGTGTGTTTGTACAGTGTCTTACGAGAAAATAAGACTTCAACAACAATTTTCGAATTATAATTAATTTTACTATTATTTATTGATTAGATGGAGTAGAAAAAAACTAAAAATAAGGTTTTTGAAATATTTAGGTTTTGTTTTTTACAATAAAATATATAGGTTACCGTGGAATTTATTGAGAAATTAATATTAAAAAATCACAAAAAATTTTCAACTAGGTTACTTCAAATTTTTTTTTAATATTAATTTCTCAATAAATTTAAAGGTAACTTATATATTTTATTGTAAAAAACAAAACCTAAATATTTCAAAAACCCTATTTTTAGTTTTTTTCTACTCCATCTAATCAATAAATAATAATATAATTCGAGAATTGTTGTTGAGGTCTTATTTTCTCGTAAAACACTGTACAAATACTCAAATTTAAAAAATAATTCTCAAAAATTTGCACGGTAAGGTATAGTTAAAAGCTCAACATTAGATAAATAAGGACTTCAACTATTAGAAAAAAAATAAATTTTAGTCATAATCTAATATTTTTTATTTAACATTGGTGGCGAAAGGGGTGGCGAATGGACCTCCTTAAGAGGGATTAAAATATTAAACTGTAATCCTAACTCAGGAACAAAAACGATATCAACTTGAATTATTCAGGAAAAATAAAGCTTTTATAGGGGGATGAAGCCTATTAATTCTGAAAAATCTAATTAAAAATGGGAGGTTAAAAGAGGGTTTGTTTAACTGTGAAGAGTAGCATATAGAATGCCATCAAGCATTATATATCTTCATTCTAATTTTTATTTATGATGAATATAAGTGAAAAGGATTATCCATTCTCAAATGTGACAAGATGTAATTATTACAATAAAAAATCTTTGTCTTGGTCACAGTAATTTATTGAAATTTTTTATAGTTTTTCACTAGCTTCAACCATTAGGCTTGTGAAGTCAAAAATTAAATAGAATAATAGGGAAGCAAATTACTGAAGTTTACAAAGAATGAACAAGTTGAGAATGTAAAGATTAAAGGATTCTCTGGTGTCATATGAAAACTGGGTACAAGTGTAAGTATATTATCTATTCTATTATATTATCTAAGTTCTTCGGGGGTAAAGGCAATCTTCTAATGTGTGTAGTGAAGGAGAAAAAAATCCTTATAATTTGAAATAAACTGAGCGGTACATGCATTCTTGTTAAAACAAGTAAAAAGACCCACATTGATGAAGCCAAACGCGTCCTTAAAAGGAAATTTCATCAGAGTCGGAGGAATTCAGATATATTGAACGACGAAAATGTGGTACCCCGAAGAAAGCCGTTATTGACAAAATTAAGAACATCTACACTTAGTTATTGCCTTATTTTAGAAAACTACGCAAAGTGACTGGGCACAACTGAGATTATAAAAAAATATAAATAGACTAACGAAAAATAGAAGAGAAAAATCCTAATGGTCCTTAAAAGTTATTGATTTTATTACCTTAATACTAGTACAACTAGAACAACTTTTTTATCTTGCCATTTTAAAAAAATGTCAATATTGACATTTACGAAAAAGTCACGTGATTGGCCATTTGCATGTCATTCGTTATCATTTTTGAAGCAACAAACGACGGCAAAGTGAAAATTTATCTACATCATTTTGAAAAGAAAAATCCCATATGACGCGCACTTTATGTGTGACATTATATTATAAGAAAAAGTAATCTCTGTGTCCTGGATCCCATAAACAGGGATTAAGCTACATCAAACTAATAATTTTTTTGTCGCGCTTAGTAATAGTAGTATTACAAAGTATAACAAATTAATCAGAATGTCTTTTAAAATTATTTAGTTTTGAAGTTTGAATTAAATTTTTTTACAAAAAGCGTATATTCTACTGGACCGGAACTTTAAACAAACCTGAGTGTTTTACACCTGTCAACTTTAATTTAATTTGAAAAATAAAAATGAAACACTCAGGGTAGAGGTTTTTCGACGGATAGGGTAGATAATAGATAAATGGATAATAATAAACAATATTCCAATTAATAAAGTCAAAACTCATAAATAAATTTGGAACCAATTCATGTTGTTTAACCAAGAAAAATGTACAGCTTGACTCAAATGCATCTGTAGACATTACTTTAATATTAAAAGATTGAGCTGAGTACACAACATGAGTAGAAAAGACGGTGAAAAGTATATAAATTCTGTAGTTTAGACTAATTTTTTATTCATGAAATAATTAAAAAAAAAACTCTTCGTGCATCTAATTTAATCGTTGAATATAATTTTTAAAATTTTGGATAATAGTAAAATTTTCATAAGTATGTTTTCTCATAGAATTTAATCGATTAAATAAACTAAATGCACTTAGGATAAACAAAAATCCTGCGCCTATGATATAATCTCCGATGCAAAAGTATCCATGTCTGAAAACGTCCATATATCGTAATAGTAATTCTGTATACGGCATACGCATTCAGCCTCCAGCGGCTGAAGGTGAGAGGAACACAGAAATTCAGTACTGTATGTGTGGCCTGTATTTTGTAAATAGGTCCATTTGAATGTTTGTTCAGCCTGTATCTCGGATACGCGTATCTTGATTACAGTATCTTCATGTGAAAGAGCTCTTAGACTCCACGCGACATTTTTTAACAGAGAACTATTCGAACTTTCAAGCAAGCTAGCAAGAACAAAATCAAGCTCCTCGCGAAACTATCGCAATTGTAACATTAAAACTAATCATATAGAAAGGTCTTCTAAACCAGCAAGTTTTTGGATTTGTTTATATGCACAAGTATTAATTGTTATCAGAAGCAATCACTTACTGCATTTCACAACAATTAATCTATCAACTTATCATTAAGATTTTCCACAAGATTCTTCATATATATACAGTCCACAACTCCAACCTGTAAGACGAAAGAAACCGTTAAACAGGCAGCGATAAAAACTTTATAGCCGATCTACGAAAAAGGAAATAGAGGAACTGCAAAACAAGACCTGGGATTGAACACCAGAATACAATATAAAGAACCAAGAAATAAAATTTAGGGATTGCCTGACATTTTACGACTTTATTTTTGTTCATTATTTTTGATCTGTGAATTTAAAGAAGAATAAGAAGGTGATGAATTATACGAATAAGATATATGAAAAATGGCACAAATTACTTTCTCGATTCGGGACAACTTGTAATTTTTTCTGTAAATCGCCTTGTTTTGTTATGATAGGTATCGTGACCTAAAACTCGCAATAGTCTACTTTGCAACCTTTAAAAAGTAGAGAATTGAGTAAATACATGTGAATAAAAAAATTTTTACTTACGTAGTCTCGTCCAGGCATCTTCAGTGAAGTCTCTGGTGTCGTTATTTTCATCAGGAATGTAATAATTGACATTATTACAGTGTGTTTCCAAAGGACTCAGGTACGTTTTTACTAAAAAAAATATTTTAAAATTAAATTTCCACACAATGTTTGTTGTCTATAATCAGTGGCGACTCGTGAACAAAATATTAGGGGGTGACAATGATAGAATTTATTTCTCAGAACAGATTTAGGCTGCCACTGTATATAATAAATAGGTTATAGTATCATTCAAGTTTCTCTATGTTTTTCCAATATTATTCATCACTTTATTTATCATACTAAAAAGCATACGTTTTCCGTAAACTAATGCATAAAGAAATTGTTTAATTAGTTATTCATTTTGATGCAAATATTTTTATGAAAGTTGCACCCGTAGCTATACAACTTTCATTGCAACAAAAATAGATAATAATCTCCGCGTTAGAAAATGAGAATACTTTTAATAATTAAACGTTTTTTAATTACTACGTGAAACCCAAAATAGGTACGTATTGTCTTCAAAAACAATCAGTTGTTTTTTATTATTTCATGTGTACAAGAAAAGTGTCAATTTTCGATCTTTCACAATGCATCATGTAATGGTGACAGGAGAACGTGAGAAAAATAACAAAAAGTAAACTACTTATTATGTTAATGTTCTTTTATTAAATCTCTCATTACAATCGAAATAGTAGCCAATTTGTGTCGTGTACAGGAAAAAGGTGGGATATAACTGTGTTTCTAGTATTTTAATTACTCTGTTATACAATTAAATAAATTTAAATCTGATTAAAACGAGTTATGACGTAAGAATAAAATTTCAAATAAAATTTAAAAAATATTCCATTTCACGTAATTATAGATACGACTAATTCATATCTCTAATTATTAAAGCGTTAATATGGCATAAAAAGATTAAGATTATATAAAATGTTATTAGTATTTCCTAGATAAGTGTTTTGCTCTAATAAATCATAAATAACATTTACAATTATTATGCATTTTTTGTTAGTAAAGTCTCACCAGCAAATATGGAATATTTTGAAAGTTTTGATAACGAATATGGCGGAGGAATCAAATCTAGAGAGGATTGTTAGAGGAGGCAGGTTTGATGTTTTTTGTTTAGATATAGGCAACACATTATACAGTACTTACGACAAATTTTCATTTTTATATCTATTTCTTAAACTAATGTGATCGTAGAAAAAGTTTTGTGTGTATTTTGAGCGAAAAGTTCGTTGTCGCTTTCGACAACTTTTTGTCTCAAACGGCAAAGTATCAGTTTGCACTCTTAAAATACAAATAGCTATTACAAAATAAATTAAATTAGTGCACATAATCATATTGCTATTGAACCAGCAAGAGTATACTTTACATTTTTTTTTATGTATGTTCAGCGATAATTCTTTACCACCTTGTCCGATTTATATGATTCTTTTTTTGTTAGTAAGAGGGTACCTCAGGAGTGGTTCCATACAAATTTAATTAAGATGTGGTGATGGCATCTGCACGTTTCTAAAGTAGTTTTTTTTTTAATTTTTAATTTCTAATACTTGTTAATAAAAACGTTTATTAATTATTTCAAAGTTGGAGTTTTATTATTTAGTCCAGATTTTTAAAGACATGTCCGGAATTTTCATCAAGTATGTCATCATATTGAATTTTTTAATATGGCAACCCTTCCTGTAACAGACTTAGTACCCAATAATGCCAATTTGTGCTCCAAAGGGCCCTTAGCGGGAAAGTTATGAGGTTCTTTCGATTTCTTCCATTATATATGTTTTTTAGGATGCTGAATGCGAATTGGATGTTTGCTAACAAAATTTTATGTTTGGCGGATTTTTACTTATAACCCGGAAACATCAACAATTTGTAAATAACTGTATGCCATATCCAGTAATAATAATAAAAAAATCAAAATCATATTGTATTTAAATCCTATGCAAATATAATTCGGTCATGTACGTCTTCATTTTATTTATTGTTTTCATTTTATTTATTGTCTATATATGTATAATTGCCCGATGATTTTAATTGGCATATAAAGAATGTCTTCTTTTTGAAACCAGGAAAAGGAAACCCTCTTCAATCTTCATCTTGCCGCTGACAAAACCCTAACAGAACATGCACGCGATGAGTGGTTGTGACATCGCTTCTGCATTGTTTAATCAAGGGAAACTGAAATTTATTAAAGCCCTGCAGACTTCCAACCAGTAATTGATGCTTTCAATGACCCTCCTACACACCATGATGAAATTGCCGAAGCAAAAAAGGTTTTTCCCATGGCTCTGTATGGAAAAAAAAAACATGAGACTAGCCTAAAACATTTGAAATACAGGCAAAAAGTATCTTGGTCATACAAAAGCAAAACCCAACGACTATATACTACAGGATTAGGGATTGCAATTCGGTCTCATTTTTAATCCGGCCGGATTGATCTAACCAGGATACCTTAAGTTTTCTTTTTCGTTCCAACATGGACCGTTAATGAAGTGTAAAAAAATTAACTTTATTATTACTAATGATAAAAAGAGAAAACAATTAAATTCTGTGTCAAAACAAATAATATCACAAATTAAAAGTCGAAACAGAACATCAAATTAAAATCTAAAAAAAACAATGTCTATCTTTAACGTAACGTAACGTAACGTAACGTAACGTAACGTAACGTAACGTAACGTAACGTAACGTAACGTAACGTAACGTAACGTAACGTAACGTAACGTAACGTAACGTAACGTAACGTAACGTAACGTAACGTAACGTAACGTAACGTAACGTAACGTAACGTAACGTAACGTAACGTAACGTAACGTAACGTAACGTAACGTAACGTAACGTAACGTAACGTAACGTAACGTAACGTAACGTAACGTAACGTAACGTAACGTAACGTAACGTAACGTAACGTAACGTAACGTAACGTAACGTAACACAACGTAACGTAACGTAACGTAACTGGTGCTTCTGTCTTATTAGTTAAGATTTTAAGGATAAAGTAGAGATCAATATATTAATCAAAATAATAAAATTAAACATAACATAATAATTAACCTTAACTGAGATCACAATAATGTCAATAATTAGCTATTTCAGAATTCTATTCAGTTTTATTCTTATATATGACAGACTACCGAATCTATTTAATGAATAGCACAGCACACCACAACAATTACAATAACTATTTATAATATTTTAATTCTTTAGTTTTTAAACAAATAATCAACTTTTGGTCTAAGATCCGAAGTAAGGTCGACCTTCACACCCATCTGTTTAATGGATGAAAGTTTCTTTTTATTAACTAAAATATGTTTATAAATATACCGCAAATGGGTTGCCTAAGAATATACGGTCCAGACTATTTATTTTCTTAAAGAAAAAAAAAAACGACACCCTGTAAAATATCCCCCAGATGCTTCGACTATGCCCAAACTTTAATCATCTCACCGCAGGATGGATTAAAGCTTAAGTTTCAAATTTGGTGTTTTTCTCTTCATCCGTTTTTGAGTTATCTTCAAAATTAAAAAATTTGCACTTTTCCTCAAATATCTCGAATTATTTGTATATAGAAAGGAAAGTAAAAAATGACCGTGACCGTATTTTCTTAGGCAATCCATTTGCAGTATAAATAAAAACATTTTTTTTTTAATAAAAAAAAACTTTTATCCATTAAACAGATGGGTGAAGGTCGACACCTTACTTACGGATCCTGGACTATTTGGTTTGAAAACACGATCATAGGAAACAAATTATGTTGATTGTCATCTGCCAATCGACTTCTGTAGCCCGCGGCATCTCAGCTTCTATACTATTGTCAGTTTAATTGTCAACAAATAATCATGAATGCCAGACAAGGATTCTCCTCGAATTCCTTCACTTTAAAATTCAGTCATTTCCTTTTTCAGCTTCAAACGACTCACCCGCACAAGCACCACGCGTTTAAAGTACCTACGCATGCAACAGCGCAGTTATTTTACCAAAATATGCAATCATCGGACCCGGTCACCGGTTCTGGTATATTGGTACCGGATCTGGTAAGTGTATATTGATGCCGGATCCGCTGGATTACCAGATCCGTTTTTCCGGATTGCAATCCCTATTCAGGATAGACTAGTTTCATTAGAAACCCATCGAGGTCCTGAATCTCTAAAATTATAAGAATATTTTGAATAATACACTTTTTTCCTATTTTTATTAATAGGCAATGCATTTTTTAAAGATTGAAACAAAATAAAATAGGAAAAAATACATTCTTAAAAACGAAAAATGTATTGTACTTTAAACAAAACTATCTTATTATTGTGATACCTTATGCACTCAGATTTATTTGAATTTTGTTTGAAAAAATATAGCCAAACAGTTACATAGTTATCTGCCACAGCTTCTATTAACAATACCCGGTGGTTATCCAATCATAACCATGTACTAGGTAATTTAAAAAAAATATTTCTATTCACAAATTGTGTAAGCATTATATTGAGACTATAGATGTTGCTCACCTTTGCTTATATGATTTGGAGAGAACAGTGTTTTTTAAAATACTTTCGCTTTGAATACATATATCTAAAACATTCTGTTGATGGACGTAGTCTACTTTTATTTTTAACTATAGAAGAGGTGTGTCAAACCAGACCAGAGTCGATGAATGTACTCACACGGTCATCATAGGATCTATGGTAACATACGGTGCAGTTGTCTGGGTACCGAAAACCCAAAAATTAACAGCTATCTGCAAATTAGAAGAAATTCAAAGATCAGCATGTCTAAACGTAACAGGAGTCATGGAAACCACACCGACCAGAGCCATGGAGGTTATTCTTAGTCTCACTCCCTTTGGTATTTAGATCACGGAGGTTGCGCTGATGAAAATGACACGACTCGGCACGGTTGGAATAGAACCTGATGTAGGATATGGTGAGGTGAGACGTCGCTTTTGGCAGAAGGCGCTTGATTCGTTACCACTGCTTTAAGCGAACATAGACTCCATCTCACCGAGATATATATCTTCCATAAGCTATATAAAGTCATAACAGAACGAATAGAAGAGTCGAAAGAGGCAGGTACGACTCCCATCTACACCGACGGTTCTA